AAATGTAGTACAATGAATGAAAACATCAACATCAAAAGGAACAGGATCTTAAAGAAAATATTTACAAAATAAATGATGGTATGAAGCCTATACTAGTGAGAAAAATTATACTTTATAGCAACCTGGGGACCCCCCTCCCCTAATTTCGGCTTTTAGATTTTGAAGTACATGGAAAGTAAATCTACATGCATTTCCTATTAAACTCCATCTCTGTTGAGAAATGCATTTATACTCATGCATTTATACTCTAGTGAATATAAACGTCTGTATCAAAACATTAGGGACATGAATTCCCAAGTGTTTGGTAAGTGTCAGAAAATGGACTTTTTAAGATATAGAAGCAAACTATGTTCTCTTTGCATAAATCCTGGCTAACACATCACTAGCAATATCACACTTCAATTTTGCCACATACGTTTTCCTCCTTTATATTATTAACTATAATGCAATATAAATTTTCATACCCAAACCATACTGGGATTTGGATATTTAATTAAGTTTGTGTATAACTTTTAAAAATGGTGATTTTGTCCTTGATTGCTTTCCTAATTTTACTGTATTAAGAAGAGCTTATACTTCTGATATAAGGGTATTAGTTTCAGAAACAACAAAATTTGAGTGGGCCATAAAATGCTACCTGAGCAATATTAGTTGATTAAAAGTAAAAGGCAACAAATTAGTCAAATAATGTCAATTATTAATAAATGAATGCACATCAATATATTCTCCAGAACTGTCTAACATAAATGTTTAGTAACTATTTAAAGCATAACTAATAGTCATAACTAGACAAACTAGACAAAGTAAAAGCAAAACAGTAATTCCCAGGAGGTATTATCCATGATTTAGAAATAGGAATACAGAACAAATCTTTACTTGGTATATGGTCAGAGACATATGTCTAAACATTTAGCTCAGGAGTTATTTCTTTCTAATCAGTAACTAAAATGTATATATTTCTAACACAATATAATCAATTTTTAATTTCTTTGTTTTAAAAGTACTTTTCTTTTTGAAACTTTAGTATAATCTAAGATTCCAATTATAATCTAAGATTCACTGTACAGTCAAGTATCCAAAGTCTTCTACATATTAGCAATAAAGTTAAATTTCAAACAATCAAGCGGAACTATTTTACACAAATTATAGAATAAACTCTATTAGATTGTAAGACTAAAATCAGGTAAAATGATTCCATGGGCATAATGGATGTTGTGAATAATCACTATCGGTGGCATTACATTCCTACAGATAAGACAATACTTAATCATTTAACTCATCACAGCAGTCACTGACCTCAACATAAACACTAAAAATTCCTTTTAAGCATGGAAATGAAAAAAGACACTAAAAACAAATTAAACATGACTGGTCAATGTAAATTCACTATGGCTTGCATTATTGTTGCAAACCAATATAATACAATGGATCTCTGGGTCCTACAATCTAGAAATGATGTATTGTGAGAAATTAAAATACAGAAAAGTATGAGTTTAACAACACGTAAAGAAATGATTACTAATAACTTTCTCTCTCCATACCACTTTGTTACAGAGAAGTTCGGTGTATAAAAAAGCTTGGAATATTTTAAGACAAAATACAGAATGCAAGGAAAGGAAGTAAGTCCACAAATACGAAACATTTTATTGAATGACTTGACCCTGGGAACTTCTGAGTATGCTGTGTTCCTTAACCTCCAACCCTCAACAATAACTGAATTTAAAATTATCCTCATTTGATGAGATTGCTTGAAATTCCTACACTACAAACACATTTGCTTAATAGCATTCTTCATTGAAAAATGCTAATTCTCTACTAGTTACTAATCGGAAAATGTGCATTAATTTAGTGATACAGCTTTCCTGTAATTTTGTTAGCTGAACTCTGCTGTTCTTAAAATAGAAGTCTTGGATTTGGGAAAAAATAATGGAGTAAGGTCCTTTTGGAGCATAGAATCCTTCTAAGGATTTGGCAAATCTAATGGTAAAGAACTGTTGTGACATGATCAACTAGAAGATTGAGGGGTTTAGAAAACCAGATGAAAGAGAATGCATGAAATGAAACTGTCTTGTTCAAAGAATAATTTTTCAACATGCCTTAAGTTGCTGTTCTTCTTAATATATGAAGGCCTCTTCTAGTTAGGATACTATTAATCAAGTGATATTAGTATCTATGAGCAGTCTTATTTTAACAAGTTTCAGTGGGAACATACATGACAAACACCCATTGTTAACTCTGTAGGTTGCCAAACAAATGCAATCCCTCCAAGCTAACCAGAGATGCTATTTAAAAGGTTCTGGTGTGTTTAATCATCAGTAGCAAGAAATCAGAAAACAAAACCAAATAATAGTAAAAGAACAATATTTAGGTATTCCTAAGAAAATAGGTTAAAAGTATGTTAGCAGAAAATCAGTCAACAACACTGCTTTCTAATTTTCTTGTAAATAGTTTCCTGGATATTCACTTAAGGTAATATGTACTTTCAGATTATAGATTCTTAGTCTATATTAGTAGACCTAATGCTCTCTCTTCGGTAAAAATAAGTTCAATTATCTTCTCCTTTCCAGAATGGTAAAACACGTCCAAGTTTTACATCAAAATGTGCTGCTGTTAAATACTACCAAACAATAAAAAATAACTGGTCATGAACTAGTATGCTACAGTGTTATAGAAAGTTTGTTTTAACTGGTCACTCATTTACAGAAGTCCCTTCCTTTTTTGAGAAGTATATGAACCTTCACTCATTATAATCAGATTAATTCTAGCCAAAAAGGACATGATTAAGCACCCCCACTTCTACAAAACAAGGATGTTGTCATGTCTTTCTTTTTATACTAATGTTGTCTCTATTACTTCTATTAAGCTAGCAGATTGAAATTTCCAACAGCAAGTTTCTCACAATTAGGCAAATGCTCTAGCATGCCTTTGTTTTTTTGCAGTCAATACTCACTGGGGAATAAGGAAATATGCTATCCGTTGCTTGATCCTTAGTATTCCTTTCATATCAGGCTGTACAACGCAACCCTCTGAGCAAACAATTGAAAACTATGGGAATCTTTTTAACCCCTTGATTATACAAATGTTGAAGGATATTTTATGATCATGTTTCATTTTCTAGTTTCGTTTTTCTAATTTTATCAACTGGAAAATACATATAAAAACAGTATGTATCCTAAAAATTAAACAGCAAAGTTATATATTTGAGTTTGACAAAAAAAAGAAAAAAAGAAAAAGAAAAAGAAAAAAAAGAAAGAAAGAAAAGCAACCTGACAAGAATGTGTAATTGCACAAACAAGATAATGACAGGACCATAAGCAACTCAGAGTGTATGGACACAGATTCTTAAATGCAAATACTTATTGTAATAAAGCAAAAAGGGGAAATGAACCAAATTGGAATACAAAATATGACACTAAACCTAAGTAATGCTATTATGTGGCATTAGATCATTGGTTATTTAGTATCATTCAATTACTTTAAAAAAGACACCTCAAAGTAAGAATACATAACTTATATATCATATTTAGGAAAGATATTTGTGCATGGATACATATAGTTTGTTTTAATAAATCATTACATTTCTCCTAGCCTAAACCATATACTCAGAAATCAGTTCTGAACTAAGCAAAATAAAATGCACAGCCAACAGTACAACTAGCACACACAGGAATATGCTTCAATTCACTAAACAAAACTGACATCCTCTAGTTTACATTCATGAATTATTTGTCAGTAGTAGTTCTTAATGGTATTTTCCTTGATAACATAAAATGATGTTTTAAAAATTCAGCATTTAAGGAAAACTACATATTAAACAGTGGTTCTGGATCATAACTTTAATAAAACCAATTTGGCTGGTTTATATAAATATGATTTTTAAATGTGCTCCAATTTCTGTGTGAATCATTAATGTTGTTTTCCTATTCAAAATGTTAAGATTATTTTCTTGAAGTACAACTATTAAGTGGAATTGTCTAATGCTTACTGAAATGAATGATACAGTTTTATATGAGCTAAGTGCACAAATCCACTATAATAAAACTTCAACTACATCACCATAGGATTCAAAGTAGATCAATATGCTACATGTAGCTCAAACCACATGGGAATTAGAAATACAAGGGGAAAGATGATGATTAAATTCAACTGGTTAAAAAGTCAGTTTATGTAACATCAGATCACATCAACACCATGTACTTCATATTCAGAGGCTTAACTGATATATTTAGAAGATTACAAGACCAACATGAAACATTTAGATAAAAACATCTTCACTTTTACTACAATTCCATCAGATGCAAAACATTAGAAGCCTATGGAAACTTTCTCTAGGAGAAGCCACTTACACATAATATACAAACCTGTCTGCACACATTATTTGTGATTTAATTATTCTATCAAAACTTTGGCAACAACCATATCAGGAATTCATATATTAGCACAAATGTATTTTGCTCTGGCACCAAACAACTCACTACATTTAGTATCTAAACAGACTCAAAGGAATGGAGTACTTTGGCTATGCACAAGCTAACAGAATACTTCTGTTTCTCCTTTAAGAATGAAAATGTTAATCATTAGAATATGATGTTGAAGATACTGTCATTGTTTAGGATTATAACATTTATGACATGAAAATCATCTTCATTAGTATTAATGACTGCCTTAACCATTTTTGTGAAAAATAATAATAGGTTAACTTTGTTTGAAAGGAATTTGGGGAGTTAATGTGCAGAGAAGTTGTTAAGACCTTGTGGACATCAATTATATAGTTAGACATTTGGATACTACTGAAAAAAATGACATAGTATGAATATTATGAACCTATGTATATTCGTTTAAAATTCCAACCTCCCCAAAAGAGAGGCTTAAGTAGAATATTCAAGTAACATGGCAGGAAAAAACACCTTTGGTATAAGATTAGGCCTAAACCAAACAAAAGCAACCCACAACACATTTAATTTTCTCTTCATCCAGTTAGCTGAGGAATAGTATGAATCTTACAAGCCAGTTGATGTTCGCTTTTTCATGCTCCGTCTCTGAGCTAAACTTGAAGCAGCAACAGGCTCTAGAATTGGTTGGAAAGTCTTGGGAGTCAAGGCAGAATATGTTGCAACCACTGCTTCCTAAAATAATAACAAAACAATAGAAGTTCAGTACATAATAATACACAGCAAGACCTACACCTATAAAATTTGCCCTTTTACATTACAACATAGCTGCTATAGCAAGGGCCCAAGTTATAGAACCAGCTAAGTTGCATATATATTCAAAATGTATATACATACATACATACATACATATGGTTTAGAATACTTACATAGTAAAAGTCTTATTTAGCCATAAGAAAGAACAAAATTATGTCATTTGTAGGAAAATTGTAGAGCTGAAAATAGTCGTGTTAAAATAACGTAGAATCTGAAAATACTGCACACTTTTTCTCATATATGGCATATATGTCTTAAAAAGACTATTACCAGTGTAGTGCAAGATAAGGGGGATAGGATAACAGGATATCAGGTGGCATTAGAGTAAATATGTTCAAAATACATCATGTGGATATAAGAAAATGTGAACACAAGACCCATTATTTTGGAAAAATCATAGAAGCTAAAGGATAATTTTATCAAAAAAGACATAGTAAAAACCATAAAAAGTTTGTGAATGTTTATAAAAAATCTATCTTCAAGAAAATACTTTAAGATTTAAAAAAAAAAACAAAAAAGAATTACCAATGGGCAATATGAGATACACATTAAGTATGCGTTTATTTTACCGTAACAACATGAGATGCATCGTTTGTCTTTGGTTGATCTCTTGGCAACTGCTCTCTGTGGGTTATCCAAGAGTGCTTTAATACTTGTTCAGCAGTATAACGCTGATGTGGGTCCATGTGAAGCATATGAGAAAGCAAATCCTAAATGGATACAGAAATTATAGGAAAATATAAATTAAAATTCCTCAAAAGATGAAAGTATCAATAACTTTAATGTTTTATTTATCATTATTTACGAAAAACAGTATTTTATGCTCTATAGTTAATTTTACATGTATATATGTGTATATACATGCACACACACACAAACACACACACACCACACATATATTCACCAATTTGAAAGGGAAAAGATGGAGAGAGAAGGGAGGGGTAAGAGCGATATAGACGCATGCTCATATCTAAAGACAAAAGATAATCTTGAAACAGATTTTTCATTATGTAGTGAAGTTTTTATTTTTGTAAATCTGTGTATACCAAATTTCTAGAACTAGGTTTTGGTAAGTAATGAAAGAGGAAAAACCACTTAAGATGGCAGGAATTTCCTGGAATGTTTTAAAAGGACAAGAAAAGAGCTATAAAACTTTGCTAGAAAGATAGACCCCCCCAAGATGTAATGGTTTGTATATACAGATAAAACACAAATGAGAGGTTGCCATGCAGTTAGCTAATTCATTCATTAAGTAAGAACTTTTTGCATTACATGCTGAGGACAGCAAAATATAAATTCAATGTAAAAAATACTGTTAAGACAATGGTCCAGTAACCATTAACTGGATATTTTGGTTATAATTAAAACTATGATAAAACATAACTTCATAGTAACAAACAAGTTGTTTAAATACACCAAAGCATTTAACACTGAGAAAATTATGTCTACTACTTTTAGGAAAACAAGTAAAATACCCTCAAGAATTTCTTAATAAAGACATCATTTGTGCAACTTTTTATCACCAAGAACAACGAAACTAAAGATGATAGGTAATAACAAAAGATGAAAGACTAATCATATTCCTGTATTCTCACAGCTCAATAGGCTGAGTCTGGAGGATTACCACAAGTTAAAGACCAGCCTAAGCTATATGGTAAGTTTGGGATCAGCATTGTTTGACCTTATTTTTCAAAAACGAAAAGAAAAAATACAATCTGTTAAAAATATTTTAGGGCTTTAGGTAATCAAAATAATAAACTTGGAATAGATGTGGTAGAAATAAACAGAAATTTAATGTTTAAAATAAGACATGCAAAATTGTCTGGGGGAACAGGGAATAATGGGGCAGGGAAGGAGAAAGGGGAGAATGGATTTGGGAGTATATGATCAATGTATATTATATACTTGCTTGAAACCTCTATAAAATCTATTGCCACATAAAATGGTTATATAAAAACAAAAGATAATGAACATTTAACTAAATCACAAAAATCAATAACTTAATTCAGCAAGCCTACTCCTACACATATAACTAAAGGAATTAAAATAAGTACGTCAAAGAGGTATCTGTACTACAATATTTACAGTAGCAGTAATAAAAACAACTCATCTGTAAATCAACTGGTAAGCGGATAAAGAAATGTCCCATATGTAATACATGGTAATGCTTGCATGTATGCATGAGTTAATATTATGTGTATGTACGTACATGAATTTATACATACACAAGACAGAACACCATTCAGTCTACATAGAATGAAATTCTGTAATGTATGACAACATGGATGGAACTAGAGATCATTATTTTAGTGAAGCAAGCCAGGCATAGCAACACAATTATGACACGATTTCACTCCGTATGTGGAATGTTAAGGCAGGCAACCTCACAGAAATGAGAGTAAAATGTGGGCTAGCAGACATGATGGAGTATAGTGGGGAGGGGAGATGAGGAATTTTGATCAGTTACAGTTGGATAGGCTCAAGAATTTCTGGAATGCTATCACAGAGAAGTGTGACTACAGATAGCAACTAACACCTAGAATAGGATTTTTCAATGTTTTGTTTTAAAGAAATGACAGGATTTTGAGGAGATAGATATTTTTAACCTACCTTAAACATTACACAATGTATACATGTATTAATAAATTATATGTTTTTTCATTAATATAAACACGTTTTATGGTTTACATATGATACAAATAAAAAATAAGCCTGGTCAAGTGTCACATCCTTGCAACACCAGCCACTGAAATATACAAGTAGGAAAATCAGGCATTTAAGGTCATCTTTGGCTCCACAGCAATTTTCAGGGAAGCATGAGCTACATATGGCATTGTCTTAAAAAAAATAAAACATGCCAAACCACACATTACATTAGAAAACAAAGGTAAAATCTCCATAGCTCAAGGACTTCTACTTTTGCTCAGATATAATTCCAAGTTCTGGAGTTACTCAGTTGAAAAGTCAAAAATATAAAACAAAAGCAGATTTCAGATCAAACTCAACAAAGGAAAATGGTCTCCAAGAGATGTGCAGTAAGTCAAGTGACCATAATGACTGCCACAACATACTACCCTGAGTTTGTTTTGGCTGCTGGGAAGTTAAGGAGGGACCAGCCTGTGGATCAGATTGAGGAGACAGAAGTGCCATTCATAGGAGACCAACAGAGTCCAGAAGACAGAATGAAAGGGGTGATAGAAAAGAACAGAAAATTACAGAGACCTACAGATGATTTCCCTTAAGCATTCAGATTACTACATACTCATAGACGAGGAAACAATTCAGAAGAAATATCAGAAAAGAGTGGATGTAACTCAGAACTAATAGATAGTAGTATCCACAAGTTTTCGTAAGTATTGCATATTAATGAAAAATGTTTCATCCATTCCCTATAATCTTTTAGATTGCAAATATTTTAACATAATCTTTATTCTTTGAAAACAATCATTCATTTTAGAAATAATTCATTTGCATGGTTTACACAGACAGTACCTAAAAATAAAACTGGGGAAAAAAAAAACTCAGGAAGTTATGCAGAGTTGGGGAGGATATTATGCTTCTATCAATTTTACTGATAGAACACGTCACCTAACTGGTGAGGAGCCTGAGACTTCTGTAGTCTTTTCTAAGAAAACCTTAAAAATGAAGATGTACAACTATCACTGCTTCCCAAAATTTAATTGATATGTACACTAAAAGTCAAGTATATTTATAGGAATAGAAAAGTACCCAATATCCACTGATATAAAATTGATCATTTTTGCCATCTTAGCAAAAATTGCCAGACATACTAGAAAAGGACAATGAATAAAAATTAAAACTAACTCAAAACTGACATGTTAGAATTTGCAGATAAAAGATTTAAGAGTTATAACTGTATTCCAAATATTCAAAAGTTGAAATAAAAGGTATATAGAAGAGACTCAAATCAAATGTCTAGAATTGAATACTGAAAGACAAAGTAAAAAAAAAAAACTGAATATAAGAGCAGACATAGCAGAAAAGGTGATTGGTAAAGACAGTATTAGCCATTACCCCCAAAGAAATAAACCATTAAAACAGGTAAAAGAGCAGAGCACCAGTGGGTATGGGGTAACATACATGTACAACTGGAGTTTCAGAGGAGAAAGAAAAACCGTTTAATTTCCAAATTTAATGAAAGTCACAAACATGCTACATATAGTAATAACAGAAATGATGGTAACATCAATTTCATTTTGGAAAACATTTCAAAAGAAAACATAATGGAATAACTACTGTAATACACTGAAAGGAAGAAATAATGCCAACCTCATATTTTTTGTTATATAACCATACCCTTTGAAATAAAAAAGGAAGATGATGGAAGAAAGATACCTGGAATTTTCCTGTGTTTCTACCAATCTACAATAACAAAGCATAATTGAAATGGCTACAGGAAAAGGTTGATGTAATGTATTAGCAAACATTAGACAGAGATGAGGTAGAATCCAGTCATGATGAACTTTAAATCTGTAAAAGAAACAGACCCTAAAACAGCAGAAGAGGGAGAGCAAAAGAAGAAAAAGGAAGTCTGTAAGTTTCACAGGTGCACAATATGGAACTCTGCAAAACAACCAAACAAATAAGTAAATGAAAATAAGAGATCTGAAGTAATACATATTGTAAGCAGGCATTGAACTACACCATACCTCCTACTGTACTAGTATGTTCACTGGTGCTGAGAGGCTAAGCATTTTGAGGGTTTTACAGTCAAAACCTTTTATCCAGAGAAGAGCAGAAACCATGGATTTTTACTACCTTCAAACCCCAAAGTTTCCCCATCTTCAATAACTGGGCAAGTAAACACCCTCAAGAACCAATGTGGGCCTAGTATATTTGTTGTCATCTAGATGCAATTCAAAACCACAGGTCTGCCTAGGTGACAAACATGGGTATGACTACAGAAAAAACAGGAGGCCTTAAACTGGACCTGTGAGAACAGACCAGTTGGGAGACCAGTTATAGCTAGATCATGCAGGGCCAGTCAGTGTTCCATGCCTGACTCTGTAAGTGCATATTACTTTGGTCTGACATATTAATGTAATCCCAGAGCACTGGAAACAGCCTGCCTCAGGCATTTTTCCTGCTCAAAAATGCACTAGCAGAGCATGCATGGTATGAAAGGGCATCCAACTGTTAGGAAGTCCTTGGGCTCATCTAGCAGAATCAGTTTAAGGGCAGGTCCTGTACTTCTGTATTGCCTGGCCTGGATGAGGAAAACACTTCTAGGAATTCAGTTCAGGCAGTGCCAATAACACTTTACAGTCTCACGGAAAAGGCACAGTTGGGTAGCTTTCAATCTGCTACAAGCCTTTGTGGCCTAACCAGAGAGAAAACAAATAACTGCCCAAATGCCTCTAATATCAAATACACTGAAACATAAGAAAACTGAAAACTCTATGTACTCTATGTATCTTCGGGAGGTGAAAAATGTTGGCAATTTTTAGTTTTTCTTGCACTTTGTTTTATATCACTATTATTTCTCATGCTTTCATCCCTTATATGGTTCTTTACATCCCTGTATTCCTTCTTTGCTTCTCTAACATTTCTTCATCTACATTCTTTTCACTACTTAATTATTCACACTTTAAACTGCAGTCAATTTTAATTCCTAGGTTTTACTTTTCTTTAAGAACTCTAACTATCCTAGATCCTTTCTTCTTTGTCTAACATTTTATATTGTTCTCGATATTTCTAATTGCCTTTCCCTACATTTAAACATTTAGTTAGCTTTTGAATTACTGTCATCTGCTTTTTCTCCTCTGAGTAATAGAGACTGGGTTTTAAAGGCTGTTTGACACTTGGGAGATAGAAGCAGAGGGATCTCTGTGTGTTGCCTCCTAGAGCTGCATAATGAGACATTGTCTAAAAAGAAATAAAAGATGAACAAAACAGAGAGGTATCCATGCCATACTTTCAAGAGACTGAACCTGAGAATTAATCCATGAAGTAGAGAAAGGAAGGAAAATATATACAAACCAAAAGACTGAAAGCCTATTAAATAAAATTACAGCAGAAAAAATAAATATTGGGAGGGATACAGATATCCATTCAATACAAGAAACATTAGAAACCCCATATGGATATAATTAGAAAGAACTTTTCCATATTATACTATAGTGAAAATACTACACAAAGAAAACAAAACAAAACAAAATATCTTGATCTTTAAAGGATTGGTGTCTTTACTTCTATCACTTCAAAGTATACTTCAACACACAAAATCACCTAAACTGACTTAAGACTTAACAAGGGAAAACAAAACTTTCATCTGCTCATCCTTACCCTAAAAGAGTAATGCTTGAATTTTAAATAATTTCTACAACTTTATTTTTTTGTTTCTTTGTTTTCATTTTAGAAGCAGATTCTCATATATCCTAGGTTAGCCTTGAAATGTCACATACCCATCTCATCCCTGAACTGGATGATATGGAACTTCTGACTCTCTTGCTTCTTCTACACAGCTGGTGCTAGGAATAGAGGCATGTACCACCTTGTTCAGTTTCATGTGGTATTGGGCAATATACCCAGGGTAATAACTATCACATAAATATAGTAAGCATTCAATGTTGGCAGCACTGTTACACAGCATTTATGAGAAAAGCAAAATCTTATATTTCTACTGAGAAGTGCAATTTCATAATGAAATGTGACATGAAGATAAGCTATAATGAACATAATTTGTGACTTGAATCACCAAACATGAGTAAAAGCTATTAACCAAGGCTGTGCTAAGCAAATGGTCTCCAAGTGCCTTAACATAAAAAGGAGTTCATTTATATTTGGAATACTAATTTAGAATATAAACATAGGCCTAGACATAAATACATACCAAACTTTTATTATAATTAATTCCTAATAAAGACAGCGGCAAAATGGTGATTAGTTTTTATCACAACAAAAATATAAACATTGCTAATTTCAAAAAACAAATTGACCTTGTTTCAATAAGATTTAATTTATCTTCTTTCTTTTAAATTCCCCTTCAAAAAACCCAAGTTCTCCTTGATAGAATGATGAGCAGAGAATGTGAGAGCAAAAGATTCATTATTTTAAGCAATAATAGTGACTTAATATTTTGATGGCTAAAAGGAAAATGGGAAGATGCTAATCATTTGTCACTTACATATGAATACTTTTATATTATTGACAAGGATTTTAAAAATTATATTAGACAATGAAAAAGGATAATCATGTATAATCTGCTGGATATTTATCCCTAGATAATATATTGAAGAATGATCAACAAAATTAATAAATTTATCTAAATTGAAGCCCTATAATTTCTTATCATCTAGATCTACTTTTAGCAAAGGTTTATAAACTACATGAAACAAAAGAACTGCAAATTTTCTATTCACTTCACAATTCTCAGATAATAAACATACCAGCATAGTAACTATTTATAAGCTTTCAATTTTGATCAAATATTTCTGTTCAAGTTCATTTGGTATCTGTGGTGTCTAACAGAAGCTACATTGTATAAAAGCTCACCAACATGGTTCCCTAACTATGTCCTGAACTGAATGACACCAACAGACATGCTACCATGAAAGGGGTAAGGCTCACAAGAACTTAATCCTGTGTCAAGAAATTCTTTGAGCAAGAGAAATTAATGTCTCCCAGGGAAGAGCACACCAATTGGTTATCCAATACCAAATGGTTAGCCCTGAAACACACACACACAGATAACATTACACAGATTGAGCAGGATGATTTTCACACACACACAGTACAACTACCATAACCACCAACAATTAAAGAAAAAAGAGGCCATTACTTTAAAAGAGTAAAGTGGGATACATGGGAGGAATTGGACATAAGAAAGAGAACAGAAAATGAAGTAGTTACAATCTCAACAAATTAAAAAATTAAATAAATAAAAACTGACATAAGAAAGACAAACAACAAATACACAGTGGGATACAGTTTTTGGATTTTAATAATATCAAAACTGCAAAACTGAACATATCTATGTTTTATACCTTAGCTCCATCTGAAATATTGTCCCAGTTTCCACCACTCAAAGAAAACTTCCCATTGCCTATACGCAGGAGTATTTCTTCAGGAGTATCATTGGGTCCATTGGAAAATGGAGTGTAGCTGTTAATAAAATAGATTTTAATAAACATGAGAAGCAAAGGTATATTTCATATGTAATCAAAAGTGGTGACTATATATCTACATACAAATATAAAAAGGAGCCAAGAGCATTACCCAATATTCCCCTTTATTATTAATATGAAATCATGTATTTCAAACAATGAATTTAAATTCAGTAAATTACTTAATGAACTACGGAATCTTGTTGATTACTTCTTTGCTTCCTTTGATCAGTTAATAAATGCAAAATAAAGTTGGACTTTTATGTAAACATGCAATATTATAAGAGCATGATAAAACACAAATAATTCTATTTTGATAGGCTTAAGTAAGCAAGGAAATATAACTACTATGAAGAAGTTTTAATTCTTACATACAGCTTATTCATTAACATTTTACTTTCATAATTAGTGGAGACAACTTAAAATTTTCAGCTTATACCTATGCAAAATAAATATACTTAATATTGATGCCAATGTAATAGAAACCACAGCCTCTGAATTATGTACATAAAATTATTCATGGGTTGAAAAAAGATTCATAAGTTTGGTGGATTTTAAAAAGTAACTTGACAAAAGTACCATGTTAATACCTATATCACAAATACCTTTATATTTGGGAACTGGAAAGCTGGTTTAGGGTTAAAAAAAAATTAGGAGCTAGATTTATACATTAGTGCTTTCATTCCTTCATCTAACAATTAGGATTAGATAAGATCAAACACATTATATATAATAATTTAATCATATATAATATTTAATCATAAAGCAAATATTTGAAAGCAGAAAGCAAGAAATTACATCCCATGGTCTAAAACCTATAATACTAACTATATATGACAAAGTATAGCATTATATAAAGAGCTTATAATATTTAAAATCCCGACATATGCAATTACACACAGCCAATTAACAGTCTAATATCACTTTATGTTACTAATATATTTTGTTTTTATACAGCAGTTAAGTTGAATATTTAAAATGTCATACCTGTCTGATAGTAGCTAATCATTCCTTTCTTAAAAAACAGAATAATTTATACAACCATAAATATTCACTTTTAAATAAAGTGCTACTCCATATTAAGAGCAAAATATTTCACTAATTATATCACAAACATTAATATAGTCTAGTTATTATTACATCGGTTCAGAGCTTTCCTCATCCTATTAATGTTAGACATGTATATGCATGCTTCTGTAGTTAATATTGTTTAGTATTACATTCTTATTAATCCTCTTACTAAATCTCTTGCTGCTAAGAATTAATGTGCTTTTGTAATAAAATTAATATAACATTAACAAGTCCAGTGGACATGCTCCTATAATAATACACGGCTATCTTATAGTCTGTAAGTTCATTACAAAGTAAAGCACTTAATGTAAAAATAAAAGGTTTATTCTAAAGCATCTATTCTATATGAAAACTTTTCTATTTTTATGTCTCTCATTTTACAAGTAAAAAGTAATGTGATATTTAACATTATTTTCTTGTGTACTTTTTCTAGAGGAAGACATGCAGTAAAGTTCAAATAACAAGAGTTTGTAAATATCTTACCCAGCCAACATAGTGTAAAAAAGGACTCCCAGGCTCCAAATATCACAAGCAGCATCATATCCCTGCTTAGTGAGAACCTATGAAAAACAATATGGTATGAAATATTACTTAGTATAGCCTCAGATTTCTTCATATACTGGAATATTGTCTTGATTCTAATAATTTTATAAATTTTAATGATATAAAAATAAATATAAATGTTGTAAATTATTCTATGCCCTTTAAGAGTAAAGGTGAAATATTCTCCATTCTGCAAACACTGCATAAACTGGGGTTACTATTAGCTACTAAGTAATATGGACTACACACAAAAAATTACAACCCTGTAAGATATAAAACCTGACCTCAATGAGCTTTCATTCTTCCTCATTTCAAATTGGATATGTAGACACCTAAACTTAAGATTGATATGTACACGTGTTTGATGGAAGTACAAATAGTGCTGAGGTTTTTAATTCTGATACTGACTCTATGAGGTAGATGTTAATTATTCCAGTTCTCAAGATGACACCAAGAGAAACGTTAAGTAACTGGCTCAACATCATAAAACTGGTTGGTACTGTAGAAAAGAATGCTTCTACAGTAAAGCATTCTTTTCTACAGTACCAACCAGATATTAAAAGGCAGTGCTTTTAATATCTTTGAAAATTGCTTCAGCTTTTAAAAATATAGGGTTTTCTTCTAAAGCCCAATATGCATGAGAAGTCATTAATATAGTCCAAGCTGGCCGCAAATATGTGGCAATCATCTTGCTTCAACCTCCCAAGTTCTGGGATTATATTAGATATGTGTTATCCCATCTGGCTTGATAACTCTTTACTAGTGGTATGTGTGTCTGTATGAATACAACAATAAACTCTAATTATGATTTATACCTATATAATGTGGATATAAATTTGTAATAATAATTATAAGACAAGATAATAGGAGAAGTTGTGACCTTATGAGATAGTTTGAGAGACAAGAGGAGTATATTTCTTCAAAAGAGGAGTATATTTCTGGTAAATTCCCAGTAGCTTTACTAGTATTTTACTATTATTTATATAATAATTTGTTTACCTACTTTTGTTTCAGGGCCAGTATTAATAAAAATAAAAAATATTTTATTATAAATTAATGTAAGATTTCTTTATGAACTTCAGCAGTATTTGCTAGAAATATAAGGAGATGAGGGGACAGTCAGATGGCTCAATAAGCAAATGTGCTTGCTGCCCAGTCTGTCAACCTGAGTTTGATCTAGATTACTCTGACTTCCACATGTATGTATGCTATGGCCTGTACATTCTCCTCATGCACACGAACACACAGAATAAACAAGCCAATATCATCTTTTTTAATTAAAGAAAAATATATAATAAGGACATTTTTAATTAAAAAATTAAAGACACTGATAAAGCCTATAGACATAAGAAACAAAATAGAAAGATTATTAATTCATTAATACCAAAGCTCGCATGAACTTTTCATCTAGTAAAGGCTAAAAAATATCAGTAGTCTTGGCTTTCACAATTATCAGCCAAAAACAGTAAGTAACTTGCTTAAAATATATTAATAATTCCTATGAATACATTTATTTTTAAGAGCACACATGTGGTTATGCATGGTGATGCATGCATGTAATCCTCACAATCAGGTAGAGGCAAAAATGATCAGGAGTTCAAGGCCAGTATTGGCAACATGAGACATTTTCCAAGGACAAAAAGAGGATACGTGTTTAATACTGATATGCTATCGAAGACTAGACTATAGAAGTCCTAAAGAAGGCGACCGAAAGCTAGGTAGCACTCTTTTTATTCTTGTAGGTCCTTCTCATTTCTTATCACCTCTTAGTGTTCTAGGCATCTCATGTTTACCTAGTTTGCCATACTCATATTCGTATTTTATTCATTCATAGCCTTATGGGAAGTGGTGGTTTGTCAGAACATGATCCATAAATACAGCTGCATAAGGATTCTGTGACCTTATGAGATAACTCCAAGGAGACAAGGCAAAAGTCTTGTAACCTCTGTTTCTCCATTACATATGCTTTTGTGTCCTCCCAGGTGTAGTAAATAGAAGTGTGTTTATTTTAGATTATCCATATCTTACCCATTATTATTCAGAATGATGTTTTCAAACACAGGTTATCCTTGTGATTGTATACAGCCTAAACTCATGTGATCCATGCTCATTTGACCTTGCTTAACCCTCAGAATATAAACTGTCTGATGCTTTGAATAAAATTGGCTATTGCATAAGATTTTCATCTGTCTCATTTTAGGCTGCATTTTCCCATATACATTTAACCAAGTAGAGCAGCAACAGTGGTTTGCACCTGTAGTCCTATCTACTTGGGAGGCTGAGGCAGGAAGACTGTTTCAATCCAGAAGCCTGAAGCTTTAAAAAATAAAAAAGTTCCAATATCTCAATATAACTTCTCCAAGTTACGAGAACAGCACAACTGTGCAGGAGGTATCACAATGTTATAGCTTATCATACAATTCTTGTTTTTTTTTTTTATTTCCTACATACTTAAACACATTCTGTGCTTAGTCTTTAATGTTCTACAATAATGACTATGTGAAACAAAACAGAACAAAACAAAACAAAAATAAAAAAGAAGAAGAAAATAAACAAGGCATGGTAGCAGAATTAGTGAATGAAGATGATATTCAGCTTGAATTTTATATCTCTTCACTAGGATCAACATCAAGATAAACTTAGAAAAATAAGATAAGTCTCATTCCCTTTGCTCTTAGAAAAATAAGAGAAGTCTCATTCCCTTTGCTGTAAGTGTAATTCATATTTTACATAAAACATATGACAGCACTGGTCAGAGAGGCAAGTAATTTCAATATTATATAGCCAGAAGCTGAGAATATATTCATTCTTCAAATTTAAGTTCTATTAATTCAAGACCATTCTAAGACTTCATTACACATTTAATATCAGATAACATTCATGTTTTTGCTAAAATAAAAGTAAACAATTGAGGATATTTTAATCTTAGTGAAATAAGCATAAAGAAATGTTCATCTATGAAGTAAAACATTAAAAGGTTAACTGAAACGATACATATATAAAACCTGAGTGAATATTATTTCTTTACTGCTATGTTAAAATTGCAAAAAGCAGTGAATTTTCTTAGAAAATTGTGTTTCTTTATCTACTGTGATGAAATCAGGGAAGTACAGCCCTATAAATTCCATTATTTCTTAAAATACTTGCATGGCTAATTCAATCTTTATGATGCTATTTTAAAATGACTATCTTTTATATAGTTTGATACTATTTTGACAGAATCTGAAATTTTAAAAAGACTAATGTATTTCATTTATAACAACTTAGAAATAATTGCTAACTTTTGGCAGGATGTTCAGCACTAAATAAAATATTTCAAATCACTCAAAACACACAAGCCAAAGGTAGTTCAAATGCCAGTTGTAGAGAATTGGTCTCCACATTCCCACCTGAAAATTTTCACTATTACAATAAACAAAGTGTCTGCTAGGATTAAAAAGAAGCAGTGTACTGCATCTACTGTGTACATATATTCATTTAAAATGTCTGCTTAACCATTAATCTTAAAATGTTTACCTAACCACTAATCTAAACATACATACACTGTGTGTTTATTAATTTTAAATTTTGGTGTTCTTTTGGGACACATACAATCATAAACTTTTTCTAGAAGTTTCTATAAAATACAAAGAGTAGAACTATATAAAATTAAGCCAAGATTAATAATTTGCCCATTAAAATATGTAATGAATACATTATTATTTGTATCAAAGAACGCTACTTAGAATACATATGGTGACTATGTAGCTCATATTTAAAAGAAGATACGATATTTCAAATGTTCTGTCCTCCTATGCTATTCAAACAAAGTCTAGAAAAACTAAAGTTTTTTTTTTATTTACATGAGTGTTGTCCAAATAAAATAACCTCTTTGGGAACATGTACCCCTGATTTAATTTTGAAAAGCATAGTTTATACACAGCATAATTTGGTAGAAAATGTACAATCATTATGAGTTTCACTAAAGAACAGAATAAACCACTCATATATGTATAATTTGTTACAGGCCAAATAATTTCACAAAAAGCTCATAAAATAAACATGGATCTGTACCCCTATAATAGCATTTTAAAGCAAAATATAAAAATATTAAAATGAGAATTGTTCATTAATAAAGTTATTTTCTAAATTTTTATTTTAGGAAAGTAAGTTTCCTAATAGCTAATTTAAAATATAGTTTTACAGATATTATATAAATTATCTGCTTAAAATGATTACTTATTTGATATAAAATCTAAAATATATGAGACAAGAATTCACTTTCAGATTAGTACATAATAATTGCCATTGCTTATCAATATCTATAACATGTTAAGAACAATTCCTAGAAACCACCATACTGATTTCTAAAATGACTATACAGTTTGTAATCCCACCAGCAGTGGAGGAGTGTTCCCCTGACTCCACATCCTCTCCAACAGAAGCTGTCCTCAGTATTTTTTAACTAAGCCATTCTGACAGGTATAAGAGTGATACCACTCTTTGGCATTTGCCCATATAATGCCCAGTCATACCACAAGGAACATTTGACAACAATGTTCATTAGCAGCATTATTTGTTATAGCCAGGACTTGGAAAAAACCGAGATGCCCCTCAACAGAAAAATGTATAAGGAAAATGTAGTAAATTTACATAATGGAGTAGTACTCAGCTGTAAAAAATGATGACCTCATGAAATTTTCAGGTAAAATGGATGGAACAAGAAAAAAATCATCCTGAGAAAGGTAACCCAGACTCAGAAAGACAAAGAGGGTATGTATTCACTCATAAGTGGATATTAAAAGTAATGCAAAGGATAACCAGACTATAATCCACAGCTCCAGAGAAGCTAGGTAACAAGGTGGACCCTAAGAGGAACACATGGATAGCCCTGAGAAGGGAAATTAGATGAGATATGTGGAGCAAATTAGGGATGGGCGTCTTAAAGGGGAGGGGAGGGGGCTTAGAATAGGAGGAAATGAGATGACTTAGGCGGGGAGGGATACAGTTGAAAAGCAATGAAAGATTTATCTTAACAGAGAGAGCCACTATGGGCTTAGGGAGAAACCTGGTACTAGGGTAACTACCAAGAATCCATAAGGAGGAACCCAGTTTATACTCCTAGCAATAATGGAGAGGGTTTCAGAACTGGCCTATCCCTGTACTCAGATTAATGAATAATACCCAAGCTATCATTATAGAGCTTTCATCCAGTAATTGATGGAACCAGACACAGAGATCCACAACCAAGAACCAGTCTGGGAATCCAAGCAAAGAGAGGGAGGAGGGAATATATGAAGAAGAGAGGGCAACATCATGATGGAGAAATCTATCAGAGATAGCTGAACCAAGCTTGTGGAAACTCACAGACTCTAGACCTACAACTGTGGAGACTCCTGGGGATAGAACTATGTCCTCTATATGTGGGAGACAGTGTGAAGCTTGGACTATCAGAAGGGCCACTGGCAGTAGGACCCTGATACAAACCTGGTACATGAGCTAACTTGTTGGAGCCCACTCCCCACTGTGGGATGTCATGTTCAGTCTTAATGTATGGAGAGGGGCCTGGCGTTGTGCCAGACAGTTGACTCCTCATGGGAGCCCTTACCTCTGAGGAAGGGTGGACTGTGGGTGGGCTAGGTGGGAGGTGGGTGGGTGGAGGGAGGCGATTGGGATGGGAGAACTGTGGTTTGAAAGTAAAATGAAATAAAACTTAAAAAGTGAAAACTAAAGAATTCCTGACTTATAAACACATGTTATAAAGTACTTTATGTAGCCAATGCAATCCCTGATTGATTTTTCACTGCTTCTGGAGATTGTAATATCAAAGAAATTCCCAAATGTGCAATCTATATTCCTAAACTTACCCAGCCTCATCTTTCATATGTCTTAATCCCCCAGGAACAACAAATGATTTATTAAGGAAAAAGAAATGTTTCTATTTAAAAACAAACCAAAAGGCAATTCAAAACTGTATCTCAGTCCTAAAATGTATGATTCTCAGCAAGGCATGATTACACATGCCTATAATTCCACCCATCAGTAGACAAATACAAGAGACTTGTGTGTTGCCACTTTGTGTGTGTAGTGAAACCCTGTTTTGCAATCATATGATTTCTATATTAGTATATAACCTAATAGAACAGGCTACTCTGATTGATTGTGTGTGTGTGTGTGTGTGTGTGTATTAGAAGCTAGTAACTACCTGACTTTATATTATGAATTATTATAATTCAAATTTTAAAACAGCACTTTATAGTTGTGAAAAAAACAAGTCTGCTTTTACTTGTCTTCTTCAACATACTTGACATCAGATAGACTTAATTTAAGCAAAACAATGAATACAAAATAGTAAAACTTAAAGAATACCTCAGGTGCCACAAAGTTTGCAGTGTAGCATGGAGTTAACAGAAGTCCATTTTCTCCTCGAAGCTGTTTCGCAAACCCAAAATCACAAATCTTAATTGAATTTGGATTGGCTGATTCATCCATGTACAAAATATTACTGGGCTTAAGATCACGATGAACAACCTTGAACATAAAAGAAAACACCATTATATTTGCATAACTAAATTTTTGTTAAACAGTTAATGTTAATAAGAAAGCTGTTCCGAATTTTTCCCAACTTACGACATCAAAAATAATGAGAAATAGCCAGGCAGTGTGGTGTACCCCTTTAATCCCAGCACTCAGTAGACACTGGCAGGTATACCCCTGTGAGTTTGAGGCCAGTTTGGTCTATAGAGAGAGTGCCTTGGACAGGCTACAAAGCTACAGAGAAACCCTGTCTCAAAAAACCTAATAATAATAATCATGATGATGATGATGATAATAATATTAATAATAATAATGAGAAACATATTCGGCCAGATAGCCAGATAGGCATTTTAATATCTATCAATTTTGTTAAGCATTTCCATCTTTAATTATTATTCTACATTTGGATATAATGGACCCAAGTTTTACTCAGTGCATCACACCATTCCAACTATTAACTCTTGATATAATATAAAAGCTTGCAGGTACAAGAGAATTTAGAAAAGCAGAGCGACATGGATAAGTAACACATTTGGTGAAGGATGAAACAGGGAGTGGTGGATAGGTTTCAGTATCTGTAGTTTTTACACTAAGAACTAAGAACAGTCTCCATTATATATACAAAGGCTGTACACATTCATTTGGAAAAAAAATAAGATTTCTGTTTGTGAAATCCTCCCCCCCCCCAAAATGTGGGGAATACTACAAAGCAAAGAATCAGCAATGACAGATAAAACAAAAAATAATTGTAAAGGGTTTACAATTTTACACAAAGGATATGAAGACAAAGATATTTATATTCTGTTACTATTCTCCAGTGGTTACTATTGCTTTAAGGATAACTTTGAGTTTGAACTGAAAATTTCTTGTTTGGTGTACTGTTTTGATGTCTTCATATCCTTTATTTAGTAATGTACAGCGACATATGCTCTTTAGGGAAAAGGGCAAAATCTTGCTCAGTATTTAAACCCATAATGCCCTTTGCTTATAATGTCTGTTGTGTGTAAATGTTCGAAATGTGTGTTTAAGTGTTCTCAAAACAAGATTAATAAATAAATAAATCAAACAGTTTATGTTTATCATATTTTAACCATTCTGGTTTATCATGCCTTACACAAAATTCTGTTATCCTTTAAAGTACTTGCAAAGAGATTCAACTAAGTAAATTATACTAGAATTATTGTATTCCTTTAGTATTATGTGCTTTATTTCCAACTACTAAAGTCTTATTCTTAGGTCACACACAACATTATTACTTTTTCATTATTTATAAGTGGGGTTTATATACTTTACAAATCTGAATTGCAGATTGATTCAAGATGAAAATTTAAATTCTACCTAAAATTTTACGCATATATATAAGTTGATGTTTTAATTTCAATTCATCTGCCTTATATATACAGTGACAAAAACAAGTATTTAAGTCACCTCCATAAAATTAAACAAATTGATATTTCAAGTGTTTAGAATAAAAACTTACTGTCATTTTGGGCAATTGGTGAGAGTCAAATATATACTTTTTGCTGCTAAAATATAATAGCTATAGAATAATTCTAATAATATTTGAAATGCTTGTAAATTTCTTTTTTTCTCTTGTTAGATTTTAGAAGTCTAAGCTTGTAAGGAACTCACTATGTAGTTCAGGATGGCCTCAAATTTTAACAATCTTTTTGCCTCAGCCACCCATGTGCTGAAATTACAGGTTTAAGCCACCAAAACCCAGCTTAGATATTTCTTTGATGATTTACATTTTAAAAATTAGGCTTGATAATTAGTACAGCCCATATATATATATATATATATATGTCTTCTTGCCCTTGAAATTATCACATCACACACACACACATATATATGTATGTGTGTGTGTGTATATATATTTCAAACCACTTTCTATAAACTTCACTATAACACTGAGTTTTTATTAGGCTATCCTATATAAAAACATATAAGAAACACAATATAGGTGATGGGAGATGCCATTATGTATATATGTTTCTCATACTGGTTAATAATAAAGCACTGTTGGCCAATAGGAAAGGAAGATAGGAGGGACTAGGAGACAAAGAGGAAATAGAAAGTAGTAAGGAGGAGTCAAGATGGAAAGTCTAAAGAAAGCAGTATGCCGCCGGCTCCCCGGTAAGAGAAATACATAGATCAACAAAAATGGGTTAATAATTAAGACAGAGCTAGCCAATAAAAAACAAGTAACAGGGCCAACAACATTGTACCAAATACAGAGTCTCTATGTATTATTTGGGGCTGGCGCGGTAGCAGGACAAAACAGTACTCGTTACATATAGGTCCCATAATTGATGGAAGAATTCAACTGCAACTTACTCCTTGACAATGAAGATATTCAACTGTCTTGGTTATTACATACAGTACATCACGAGCTTCCTGTTCTGAGAAACACTTTTGTTTGAGAATACGATCCAGTAGTTCTCCTCCTTTCATCAGATCCGTAACAAGGTAAACGTATTTCCCATCATCAAAGACCTAAAAAGGAATGTGTTTTAAAGTTTTATTACTTGTAATCATTATTCTAATTTTTTTAAAGTTATATTTACTTTGCTATGTCAGTACAACTCTAGACTCAATGCACACATATCATTTCTTTCTTGTTAATGTAGTACAGGCTGTACTGAAGAATGAATTGAAAAAATAATCTCTTGTGTAAATTCGTAAGATCATATCCAACTTGAGTTGGGAGTTTTTGAAGTTGGAGGTTAGAGTTTATCAAACCACATAAATAAAGAGTAGAATTCTGTGCCTTTCAAATGACATATATATGCTATTTTACTTATAAGTACTTCAAAAGTAACCACCTTTGTGATAGTAAACATAGCATTTATTAGTTCATTGATTAGTCTGGTATCATAAATAAATGATGAATTTAAATAGTGCATTAAAATAAATGGATAAGAAAAATACTTCCATTTGGTATGTGATAGTATACACACACAAATTCACACATACATGCATATACACAAACTAGTGTTTAAACATAACAAACCAAACTATATATCATAGTATCTGAAACAAACTGATCAAGATGATGGTTAATAGTTTTTCATGTTCAGAAAACAAGCCAATTTGCTAATGTAAAGTCATTATTCAGAGATATATATTAATATGTGTGTTACAGGTTTATTTTACAAAATTGTAGACTAATACTATTTCATTCAAGGAATGATCCATAATTCTATAGCCAATTATTCTATAATCAAGAAAGTGAATTTTCCAGACTCAATTTCCTTTATATTTATAGGGATGAAAAAAATTTCTAGTTGCAATATTACTGAATTAACTATTCAGAATAATATTGAGAGTATTAGGGTTTTTAATCAACAATAATGCTTCTTTACTGAAATCTTTAAAAACAGAACAGATATATAGAATCATTGGAGAATTAAAGTAGCATATTGAGATTTGTCTGGATAGCTTTGAAAATATCACACCGATAAAGTTCTAGTCCATAATATTATTAACTTAATTTTAAAATACTTACATCCTTTAAAGTGATAATGTTGGGATGTTGTCGATAGCGCATCAGAATTTCAATTTCTTCTGAGGGGTCTCGTTTATTTTTGTCAATGATCTACGAAACAGATCAGAACAAATTCTCAAAAACAAACAAATGATTTTGTTTATCAAGAAGAATGAAATATTTTCCGTTTATACATCCATCCATCTATCTATCTATTTTGTTGTTATTGTTTTGAGATGGATTGTGCTATGTGGTCCAAGGTGTGCTAGAACTCCATATATAGCCCAATCTGGCAGTATATGACAATTCCTGTACTCTCGAGTGCTAGAATTACATGCATGTGCCACCACGCCAACCTTCAACTGGGTTATATTATTTTTAAAAAATACACAAATCAAACAATCAATCAGGATCAGAAATAATACCTTCACTGCAAATTCCATGTTGGAATCTGAATGTATGCATCGCTTGCAAACAGAATAAGAACCAACACCAATATCCTCTTTCAATTCATAGACTTCACTAAATTGAGCAGCGTTTCCATTTATCTGTTTAAAAAAAAAAAAACACAAATGAAACAAACTTCATTATTTTCTTCATTTTTTTCCTAATCATGTATATTAAAGGTTAAAAAGTTTCAAGAAACTCTACCAATATTTAAAAATTGTCTATATAAATTCTGAAACAATTATATATTATAGCCTTTCTAAAGTCCCAAAACAATGTGATGAATTGACTAATTTATAAATCACTCCAACATTTTCTTGCCAAAACAGACATAAACATATTAAAGGTAATTACTATCTGCTCTCCCCTAAACACCTTTAACACTAAGAAAAAGAAGCCATTAATGGTTATCTCTTAATAATTACTAAACATCCATTATTAAAAAGTGAGAGAAATACTCATCCTGAAACTGAACATTGTGATGATGATACAGAATTTACCTGGACAATTGGTAATACATTTGAACTTGTAACAGGAGTGATTTTATATTCTTCTGCAATAGAAGTTGCAACGAAGCTGAATCCTTTGAAGAGTTGATGAGCATTTGCACTGGCTGGCAAACCAGGAGAATCTAATATTTAAACAGTTATATTTTACTACAATTACACAAATGTTAATAATAGCAGCACTTTTTGACAAAAAGAAAGGAAATATTAAATGACACAATCTGACACTATAAATATAACTCATACTTTCTTGCCACTCTTTGTAGATAAACATGTTGTATGTGGTCAATAATTTTTTATTGATGGCTGCATCCACACTATCAAAAATCACATAGTTGGTATTCAGTATATCTTGAATGAGTACATGAAATAGATTTCACTAACAGTAAATTAGATCAAATTCTAATCTAAACCAGTGCATATGTAATGTTTTACCTCATAGCATGATCTAGAACATTATTAGTCTGTCAAGGCATTTACAAAACAACAGAAAATAAAATCCGTATTTTATCTTTCTCCACACTTCTGTGATAATTTCCTAATTACAGATTGTAGGAATACTATATATAAGATCAACATTTCCACAAAGACCAAACTAATTTGTACAAACATAAATTTTACTGAAAATAGTTAATTTAGTGACTAGAACAAAAAGCCTTGGTTATAAACAAATTTGTATTACCCTTAGGTGTTTTTGCAGTAAATTCAGGATCAAAACAAAAAGTATCATCTGGTTTTCCAGAAGCAGGTCTGAAAGGAGGCTGAACTTCTCTTTTATATAATTTCTAGAGGTAATAAAGTAATGTAAAATATTTAACATTTTGAAATATCATTAAAATGTTGAGCATTCCTAGTAAAAGATATACAATTCAAATACTATAACAACTAGAATATTTTGAATGTGAACATTATAGTGTAAGTAGACAAGCTGTCGCTAAAACAGACACACTAAAAATATGGTATGAAATTATCCTTGAGCTGTATGAATGAGGTATATTATTTGGGTCCTTTTCTCAAATTCATTCACTTCCTCTCATAAATGCATATATACATAAAATGCCACACACACACACAAACACACACACAGAGACACATGCACACACTAAATTCTAAAACCCAGAATAATCTTAAATGTTTTGGGATATGCAACCTGTGTTCGGTAAAAGAAAACATCACATGATATTGACATTCAGAAGACTCAAAACCTTTACAGATTTCAGATAATGATTAACAAAATTCTATAATTGAGATGTAATGTCCAAAATCTAATGAAGCCAGAGAATACATATGACATTATAATGACTTCACAGCTGGCACTGTAAACGAATAAGACACTGCATACCAAAATGTAAAAATTTTAAGACAAATAACAAAATCAATAATCAGATTATATTCATGAATATTTCATCTAAAATAGTTTGTTTCCATATAACATTAAATACACGCTTCTTATTTAATACTCTATGTTCCTAAATTGTACATGTTTTAAAAATGCAGATGAGTAAACAAGACTGCAGCTGAATAAGAGGCTCTGACAATCTCTATACATAAATATGGCAAGTGGAACAGCATTCACTTACCAAACCAGCTTCAACAGAGATAAGGAAATCAAACTAGTGATTGTAGTGTCTGGTTTAAGTATTACAAAACAGACTCATTCAAGGAAAAAGACAGGAAAGAAAACTGCAAGCTGTTTACCAGAAATAACTCATGGAGTGTAACAGTCCACATCAACTGAATTTAAAACAAAGTTGTGTGTGGCCATACATCAGATGAAGTAGAGTTGACATCTGTCATAGCCTCACTCATTTTTCCCTACTTCACCCTGTCCTCAAATATAGTGGAAGTACAATATTAATCATAACAGTTACAACAAATGACAAAAATTACTATTTCTATACATATATCTACTTCAAGGTATTGCCGTGCTATGCTATGTGGTAACTATAAACAAAAAGTTCAGACAATATAAAATAGATTATTTTTATCTGCAAAGTCTCTACATTACCACTGATTCTAAAGAATTTTTCTCATTTTAACATAACTTATTTACTAACAAACTTTTATTCAACTTACATTCCAGTCAACCGATGCAAAAAAAGCATGTCTTTTGACTTCTTCCACTCCTTCTGATCCTATAATATGGAAATAATTTAGTTGCATAATTTTTAATCTCTCTACTTGGTTTCTAAACTATTAGATATAAACATTACTGCACAGTTTCCCTAGATTCCTTATAGTGAAATATCTATGACTTCTTATCTGGTACTATATTAACTTGTCCTTTAACATAAAAAAAAAAAAGAAAACTGATACAAATAATGAACTGTATAAGTCAATACAAAATACTAAGTACTAAAATGTCTCCTAACAAATACAAGTTGTTATTCAATTAAGTAATTGTTCTTCAAAATCCATCTTATGTCTCATATTCATAACACTATATTAAACTCTTCCAAGGGAAAAATAGCCCACGGTACTTTGTACTTTTAACACAAGTATATAGATAATGGGATCACATCCAGATCTAGGAAAAGGCAATGGAACTTGGAAGTTTTGAAGTTTATAAGGACAGGCAAAATAATCAGTTTCAAACATCAAAAAAGATTATCAATACACTGTAAGCTGTGTATTTTTTCAAAAGACAACCCATATGATGTACACAATGCTACATGTTGAAAAAACCTTTTCATTAACTAGACTATTTAGTGTTTTAAACAGAAACCAAATTTTATTTTACATAAATACTAAAAGCCCACAATTCAAACATAAATATACAGTAACTATAAATGAACTTAAACTAGAACATATAAAGATCCAGTTACTTGCTAGTACATGTAGTACATTCTTATAAAGGTTAAAGAAGATTAATAATACCCAATCTATTTGCTGGATTCCTTTTGAATAACATCCTTAAAAGACTTTGTGCTTCAGGACTAAGAAATTGAGGCATTCCAAGTTTTGCTCTGAAAAACAGTATAGAAAATGTCACTTGAATCTAGACACAATAAATCAATAAATCTCATTGTGAATTTAAAAATTTTTAAGAGTCCACAATATGTTAGAATAAGAGAGAAAGACAAAAAACTTTTTAAGTCTTTGTTGAAATCCACATTAATGTTTCAATACTAGAGATAAGAATTTTTTCCCTAAATAAAATAGTGTTTCTACTTACTTCAGTATCATATTCATGGTCTCATTTCTGTCTTTACCTTGAAATGGCAAAGTACCAGTAAGCATTTCAAACTAGAAAAGAAAATAACCACAATGTATTACAACTTGGAATATATAAAATTGATTTTTTTAAAACACAAGACTCATTGTACATGATTATTAAATCATGCAGGATTCACTTGACAGTGGCTCAAAACACAATCAAAAATTAGGTCACTTGAAGAAGCATGCTATGTATATGTGTATTTCTACATAGAGTTTAGCAGAGTTGAACTGCAGCAGATGGAACCAACTAGTTTTATTTTACTTCTAACATGTCTAACTTCTCAAACTAAACAAAACCTGAAAATAAGTGGTTTTATAAACAAAGGGATAAATTTAAGCAAATAATAATGGGAAAGAAAATACACATGCCAAGAAAAAAATACTATCCATTCTAAATCCCTTTTCTAATCCCAAGGCAAAAATGTAAAAATTAAAGCCAGGGGTGGTGGTATATTCCTTAATGTCATTTATTCTGAAGTATGAAGCCAAAGAATTACATGTTCAATGCCTACCTGAGCTACCATTAAGGCCAGCCTGGATACCTTCAGTAGGAACTTATCTCAAACTAATTCTTTTAAAGGTTCTTGGGACACAGGTTATAGCACTAATAATTACATTTCAAACTAAAGATGACTAATGGTCCTGCCATCAGTCCTCTGCTCATTTAAGCTGAACTCATAACCTTAAATTACTTTATGTATTAATTGCTCTTGTACTATGACAACATCAAATTGGCTGCTCCAACCTCATTCTCTCTCAAGCACTATTTTTCTAATAATCCTACCTCCTCACAAAGAAACTATATTAGGTAGCATTCTCCTCTCAGTCAGTGTTGTATAATTTTTTTCATAGTGTCCAAATGATTGTTTGTTTCTTCAGTGTCCCTCTTTATTTTCCTCAGTTAACCCGTGCTACATATTTCAATGCATTGTTTCCCTACCGGTTACCATTAGATATTTCTACCAGTTTAGCTTTTTTATTAATATACTATTCTTACATATTTCTAAATTCATATCTGGACCACCTCCTTCCATTTTTATTGGTATTTAATCAGCTACTAAGGTTAGTCTCATGTTATCTGAAATGTCTTCAAATTTTCCTTTTTTATCAAGACTAATCTATGACATCTTGTTTCTGGGGATTTTTCTCTCCCATATCCAATCATTTATATAATGCTGCCAAGGTAAATCTCCCTAAATACTAGAAGAATTCCATGGAACATTTATAGGGTTATAGTTACACTTTCTCCACTTTCACTTTTATTCTTGACTTCTCAAGTAAAACTGGATTCCTGATGAGTTGCTAACATGATCACAGTAGTCAATTTTTCTTGACATACAACTATTAGATAGTTTCCTTAGCTATTTGAATTGATTATGCTGTAATTTAATTAGTTTTTATACTGCTGCCTTCCCCTAATGTTTCCTTTTAATATATTTAGTATATGGCATTGTTACATCATATATCATTACACGATAAATGGGGGGGAGGGGGAACGAATAATTAAACTTCAAAAGAAAACTGCTGTGATTCAATAGCCAATAATCACCTATATTTACAATGTATATAAATGTCACTATAGGGTGGGGGAAATGGGATTATTGACATGTAAAACAAGCTTGGTTCAAATTTAAATAAAAAAATGTATGAAAAATATTATAGGATATAACTGCTAGTATTCCTAGGATATGCGTGAAAACAATTGGACAAATAAGATAAAGGTAATTTCTATGATACCTAATAAAATAGCATATAAGTTTTGGTAAGATCTAGAATCATCTAGAACTTTTCTAAATTTCAGATACGAAGAATTGATATAAAATCTTGTCATTTACCTTTTCAATAGCAATATTAAAAAGAAAGCATTAAAATTCTTGCCTCTACTGCTTGCCAATCACAACATTGTAATTAGTCATGAATTATCAGAAGAAACCTTTTCATAGCTGACCCAAAAAATTCAACTAAAATCCTAAATAGTACTAACCATATATTGACACAATGAAGGAAAATAATGCAACTTACCATAAGTACACCATATGACCACCAATCAGCACTCTGAGAATGGCCTCGTCTGTTTACTACTTCAGGAGCCATATACTCTACAGTGCCACAAAATGAGTAGGCCTTCTTTTCTTGATCCACTGACTCTTTGCTAAGTCCAAAATCTGTGTGTTACCAAAAATAGAGGTTGAAAATCTCAGAAAATAGGAAATATCAAGAGACACAATAATAATTTAAATATTCAAACAATTATTTTGGCCTACATTACTCTTAAGAATGATAACCTGAAACAAATAACAGAAATCATGATAGAACTCTTTAAGAATATTTAAAGCCTGGTGAGGCAAATTTCTCCCTCAAAATACATTTTATCGGGTCTATAATTTTGAGGGATCAAAAATTTAACCAAGGTTGTCATATCAACCTAAGTATAAACCTACATAGTAATTTATACTTAAAAAATTACAGAGGAACAGTATGCATGGGCAAACTTGCATTTGTGTATAGAGCCTTCTAAGAACCAATGGTATCAATATAAAATCAGTATTTTCTGTAAAACTAACAAAATGGAAATTTAAATTTAAAAAGGGGTACGTACTATAGTTCTACGAAACACTTTGCAAACAGCTTATCAGTATACATATGTGTAAGATATTTATACTCCAAAATACAAACACTTATGAAAGAAATAAGTCATGCTAAATAAATGGAATGATATAGTGTTTATACAATTTTGATTCAATATTGTTAATTTGTTAATTCTTCTAACACAGACCTACAGAATCAATGAAATGTCAATAAAATTTCTAGTAAGATTTCGAGAAATCAACAACCTGAATCTAAAATATACATGAAAAGACATGTAAACAATACTATAAATAAATTTTGAAAATATAACAATTTGATTATCTTATATTACCTAACTTAAACTTTCACTAGAGAGCTATAATATCAAACATAGTCAAATATAGAAGAAAGCTGGGCACACATACACATATCTCAATGGAATAACGCTTAATATACTGAAATAGTTCTGCTATGATCTTGTTTCAAAATGCAAATCAGTTCCAATGTGGTCTGTATATTAGAAAACTTGACCACAACATGGATTTCACTTTGGCTAATTGTATAACAGAAGAGTAGCAGAACACAGAAAGTACAAACATCAGCCAGCTAATTCAGCTCACGTTTGTTATGAGTTACTTCTGTCTACTTAGTGCAACAATGTTCCTTCCAATTTCAGAGACTATACTTCATACTAGTTCTTAATTATAATGCACAATTTAATTTTTTTCTGATATGTATACTCACAAGCAAACCTTTGGTCTTTTTTTAAGGTAAGGTACAATGATTACTGCAGTCATTATATACACAATTGTTTGAACATGTAACAGTGTTTTTACATTTACTTTCTACTTTTTTTAAACATGTGGATCTGAGTAAACATTTTAGTGTTTTTCCCCCTAAGTCCTGTAGTATTATTGTTGTTGTTTTGTTTTTTTTAATGTGATTTTGGCAGAATGAAGTGACCAGGGTCACATATATTTATCATGCAACAAAATTGGCTTGATTTTTGGTGAAAATGAAAGCAATTTCATTGAGGAAGAGGAGCCATCTAAACAAACAATGCCAGAAAAAAGTTGTATATAAATATAAAAACACACATTGTATTCATGTCATAACAGAATAGTGACTGAAAATGCATTATAGAACTATACACAAAAGTTAAAAATACAGTAACCAAATAGGAAATAAAATCTTCCTGATTATATGTTAGACAAAGATTTCTTGGGCATGATGTCAAAAGTATAAAGAATACAAGAAAATTTAATGAACAGTGTCATCAAAATATAGAATTTGTGCTTAAAATATAACTGTGGAAGTATTTGCAATTGTTAGCTGCTGAGAGATGAGAGAAGCGCTTTCTCTATGAGGATAGCCCTTGGTAGGTGGACCACTTTCTAGTGGAATACCACACAGCCAAGAAAATTTGGGCAACAGAAATCGGTCTTGAAGGATATTTTTTAAGGGATACAAAAAGTTTAAAAAGGGGGCACAAAATAAGTAGGTAGAAATGGGTTCATGGATCTGGAAAAAGAACTGTATGAAATCCCAAAAGGACGAATAATTTCAAAAGATATATTAATAAAAAAAAAATAAAAAAATATAAAAAAACAAGATCAGAGATATATTTATATATCTCATCTACTGATTTATATTTGAACCATAAAAAAATCAAAAGCCAGTAAGAAAACAATCCAGTTTTTACAAATATCAAAAGACCTAATAAACATTTTTATAAAGGTATAAGTATATGAAAAAATGACAGTATCATTAGTTATTAGCAAAAGAGAGCCATGTTGAGATGCATGCCTATTAGAACAACTAAAATAACTATCACACATTCAGTAGGTTTGTAAAATGTACAAACACACTATTCCCAAAAGCTCTGCTTCACAAGTGTGCCATGCTGGACTCATAGTGTGGAACCATTTTATAGTAGATTCTTTCAATTTAGCAAGGTGTTCAATGTTCCTTCATGCACTATAATCCCTTCATATTGAATATCTTTTTAAAATTACATGTCTTTTACATTTATAATTGACAGAAAATGTTTATTTACAGGCTATGGTATTAAATTTGACAGTATGTAGTAAAGCAATAATTAAATGACAATAGTTAGCATTTTCATTTCCTCAAATGTTTTTAGTGTGTTAGGATTCTTCTAACTTTTTTGTGGTAATTTTTAAATGTATACTTAATTGAATGGAATAGCACATTCAAATTACTTTCTCCCCTCTAAAAAATGAAAACAGAATAAGGATCCATCAACTTAAAGATCAGAACAATGAGTTTTACTGTGTGCAAATTACTCCCAATTTCCAAAATGAAAAAAAAAATATGCCCAAATGTTAATCTCTTTGGTTAATTAATTTAGGCTCTCTAAAAACTGATTTCCAAACCATGATTAATATTTTCATTTAGAAAATCATTTATATAAGTTTGTGTTATAAGATTCTAATTTATAATAGTACATTAATTATGATAAATAATAATTACAATAAATAGTAATTAATATATAATAAATAATTTAGAAGTAAACTGAGCTGAACATATGGTAATGCATGGCTATAAATAGAGCATTTAGAAGACCAAGGCAGGAACACTACAAGTTCCTATCTCAATATATACATACATACATACATACATACATATTAAGATATATTTGAAGTATTTAGAGACATGTAATCTCACACTGATATGTTTACTTCAGACTACAAAGTAACAGCTTAATACTTTATTTATATGCTGAGATTGCATTCCATAATTTAGAATGACTTAACTTTAAACTATTATCTATTCAAACTTTGTACAAAATACATCTTAATTTTCCTGTTCATAGCTTTCCAAAACTTAAATATACAATTTTCTATGTTCTGAAAACATATGTAACTTTTTGAGATTAACTCACCCTTTGTCATCTACCTAAGTTACTGGGAAATCAATGGTTTCATCATTTAATTGCTCAGTAGCCCATCACATGGAAATTACACATAGCTTGCTTATTCATTAACCCATTTACAAAGATTAAAGTCACTTCCATTTTTGAGATGGAGAATAGAAAACTGACTGTAAAATTAGGTAAAACTAGGAGCTTACCACTATTCTTTTTAGATGTGACAAGTATTTAGTTAATTCTTTCATTATATAATAAAACTAAAATCTACTATTTTTACCTAAAATAATTTTAATTAGTACATTGCCTCTATTGTAGAATCTTAAATATACTCAGAATACATCAAAACTATGTAACCTTTAAATGAATCTTAATCCACTGAAGACACAAAATCCAACTCAAATGGAGGCCAAAAAAGATAATGGATTTAGAATAACGTCCTAGAATGATAAAAATATAATATGCTTATTGGTATATAAGAAAATTTACTTACCTGTTAACTTGATATGTCCTATTTCATCAAGCAAGATGCTGTAAATAAAAAATCATATTAAATATAAGGGAACACATACACAAAGGTCATAAATATAAATATGTCACTATTTTCACATTTTGAAACCAAATACATAAATATCATAAATATAAAACTAGTCACTATTTGATATACTGGAAATTCTTCAATTATTAATTTAAAACCAAAGTATATTATGAAGATTACTTTATACAGTAAATTTTATGTAACTATAACATTCATCAAAATTTCATATAATTTGTAAAACCCTAATGAAATATGTAAAAATATGAGTTTAGTAAAAATGTAAAATACATTTGAATAAAGAGTGAGGAGACAGGAAGGCTTAGTAGATAAGGCACTTGCCACCCAGACTGACAAATTGCTATCTGGCACCCACACAGAGAAGGAGATAGAGAACTCCCACATCTTCACTTCTTTCCTCCATACACAAGCCATAGCATTGTCCACAGTGCACACACACAGTAAGTCAATGTAATCAAAGATGTTAAAATGTAATATAGATAGCATGGATACAAATATATAATATAACTTTACTTCTCTGGCTTCAGGTCTCTATACACAATTCCTAAACGATGCAGGTGATCCAAAGCCAAGGCCAATTCTGCAAGGTAGAATTTCACATCTTCCTCTGTAAAAAGAACCTAAAATAAAATAATAATTCATCATTTGATCTTTCTTCTAATATTATGTACTTTCAAATTTACTTCTTTAAAAACCAGTAGACAGAAACATCTGGGCAAATAATGAGAAAATAAGCATAGTTAAATCTTATTTGATTTGCACAGTCATCAAGTATACCAGAGAAATTTTCTAGATAAATGATGTTTTTAAAAATTCTTCTCTTTAAAAATATAAAAAAGAAAATAATATTAGCAATTTAAATATAATTAATTCTGCAACACATGCTGTTTGTATATCATGCATTAAATGCACTCCAAAAATTTTGGGTTTTTACTGAGTCTCATAACATCAATATTAATTTTGGTACACTGCATTGGCATAGTGGCTGTGCTCACACAGAGTAATGGAAGTATTAGGGATATTTTGTTTTAGCACTCGTACTTCCATTTTTTGTTTTTTTTTACTATTCTCTCTTTTGTCACCTACTACTATGCCTCAGTAATTTCACAGTTAGCTCCACTAACTCTGAGCTTCTAAATCTACCACTAAAAGTTGTTAAATTAATAATCCTTATATCAGAATTTTAAGCTAAAAGGGGTCCACCTCTTCTCACCTGTAAGTAAAGTTTATGAATTTAATGACAATGGATTTCTCAATCTTTTTTTGTGTTGGGGAAAAAAATGTTAAGAAAAGTATATGATCCTTGAAGTCAGAATTAGAGGTTTAGCATCAGACGTCATTTAACACTGTGAACCTAATTTTTTAAGTTTATCAAATAAAAACACAGTATCTACTATATTTAACTAAGAACACTGTTGTAACAAGTAAATTTGTTTAAATGTACCTAAATGTGCAACTATATGGTGTTATTAGTACAGTTTTATACATGTACATATAGGTATATATCCATTCATAGCTGAGTAATTAATATAAATACACATTTGTGACTACTCAAACTACACATAAATTTTACTGTTATCAAGGGTTGTCAGATTGGTCAAAATACTATTTTCAAGAAATCTGTTATTTTCATTAAATCAATCTGGCTTATTTGGAAGGCTCAAGTTTGAATAAAATACCACAGTTAAAATCAACTTGCCCATATAGATAATAGTCACTGTATTTCACAAAACAGATTCATGTTACTAGGAAAATTGAAGAAAATGAAGAGCTATTATTATTCATTGTCTAAATGATATTTCTTTGAATATTCTAATGATAAAAATATAAGAATGTCATTTTTAACGTCTTATTAAGAATAAAAGTACTTGTAAGTCATTTAACTTCTGTGGAAGAACAATCAAAATGTTTGCTGAAACCTAATACATGACAAAATTCTAAATACCACTTATAATTTCAAGGAGAAACACTGCCTAGGTTAGACATTATGTCAAACATATAATCTTATCCTGACATCTTGGTAGACAGCCACATGATGGAAATAAATAGTAAACTAGCTAAAAGGCAATTATGCACCAGACGGAATTAATTATGTGCCAGCACTACATATTCTTTTTGTTATTACAGTCTTCCAAACAACTCTATAATGTACTATTATCAACATATGTGAACAATGAAACTCAGAGAGAGTAAGTAACTTGCCCAAAGTAACTAGTAAGTAGGAAGCATAAGATCTGAATTCAGGAATACTTCTTCCTAAAAATTACTTTTTCCCCAGAAGACACTTATATCTCATTTACAGTGTGTTTTCCCATATGTTTCAGTTCACAACCAATAAAGCTTTCATATTTGTTAACTATCCTACTCATAAAACCCCCCTCAAAAGTAAAAGTCCTCTAAGATTCCAGTACAAGGAAAAGCATTTTTAACCTGTGGCTTATTAACATGTGTATGTGATTGTGCATGTTAAGATACTTAAATACTTACTACAAATATGATATAGGTATCTCCTTTATTCCCACTTGGTATTATACCATAAGCATACTTTCATTTCAAACTTTTTGTGAAGACTATTAAAAATTGCATATGAACCATATCAATTCACCATGATTTACCTACATGTTTTCATTATGGACAATTAAACTATTTCCTAAATTCATTCCTACAAATATTATAATTACAAATTCTTAAATATGCATACTTGTATTTCACCAGAATGTTTTCTTAAGTAATAAGAGAGGAAATACTGGGTCAAGGAACAGTCTGGATTCCTGACATATACAATAAAATTACTTTCCAATAAGGTTACAATCATTTCCGTGACAATCAGAAATTTTTTGAATATATTAGCCTTACTATATCTATGACAGGAGTATATTATATTTTAATAAAATTTTTAATTGAATATACAAAAAGAGTATCTAACTTGATTTGATTTAAATTTATTCATAAACCAGGTTTTCAAGTCCTGTGGCCTTTCTAGATTTCATGAACTACAAGAAATTTGTTGTCTATTTCCCAGTATTAATATACTATTTTGTTCTGTTGGTATAAAGCCCTTCAACTATTAAAAATGTGATGTCTTTAGCAAATTGATTAAAAGTGTTTTTCAAATATGTGCTGGTTTTGATAAGTAGTTCTTAATTTTATATAGTCAAATTTATTTTACACTGTTTACTTTTCCCTTTGTTATTTTAAAGCTTACCAAATGTCCTTTCAATGATTAACTAAAGACTCAGCTCCATTTTCTTTTAGGATACAGAGAATACTTTTAAGATTCAGTTATATCATGTAGGTAAAATTTATTTGGTTGTGATACAGTTGGTGTTTTATGTTATTTTTGAAATATTTACCCAAATTCTCATATACTGTTTTCATAATATATATAGACTCTATCTTTACTCATAATTGTATGTTCAATCAAATACAGTAAGAGTCATAGGTTAAAGAATATGTTCCTGTGTTGAAACTATGATATTTGGCTTACAGAAACTTTAAATTTTATAGATATACACACTCACGCATACACACACAGGTATGGTGGAGCACAGCAGTAATCCTAGTACTTAGGAGGCTGCAGTAGGAAAGGGTCTATGTTCAAGGTCATTTGGCTCTCATAGGTAGTCTTTCTCAAAAAAAAAAAAAAAAGACATAAAGCAAATTTTAATTAAGTTTTTTATCAAATGACTTTTTGGCTATTGTTTACTTTGCTAGATAAACCATGAAACTATGCTGTCAATTTTTGACATGCACAAATTTCTATTGAGACTTTGACATTTTATTAAACTAATAATAAATACATTTGAAAACAGCTTTACAATAATAAATCCAAGATATTTTCTTGATATTAGAAAAAAAGAAAGATGTGGCTTAAAATTTTATGTGCTTATGTATAGATTTATTTGAGAGTATGTGTCTGTGTGCATTTTTAAAGAAAGAAATTTGGGGATGTATTTTTTCTTTTAAAATGTAAGGAACTAACATCATAAAATTCTTAATACACACTAAAATGAATGTTAAAAAAATCTGTTTCTAAGGCACAAATATTGTTTCAGTTTGAATTACTCAATTTTTTACTCACAAGTGAAATATAACCAACAATCAACTAACTTATAATAAGCTGCCTATAGAATTAATCATTGAATCAGTGTTTTAAAGTCTATTCAATGAAAAAAAAACTAGTTTGTTTTCTTTTGGGAAATGCATTTAAAATGCTTGCTCTTACCTAATATTCCAGATTTAGGAATCAAAACTTACTGACTGCATCTCTGTGCTAGTATGAGTTTAGATAGTCCCACATCGAGAATGGAGGTCTGAAGAGTTTAAAAGAAAATTAGAAATGACTACAGGTAAGAATTTTTCAAAAACATTTGTGATACTTCTATAATCTAACACAAAAATAATGAATGCTGGAGGCTCAATATACCATTATCTTTCTACAGATTCTTTAAAGACTTTCCTTGGATGAGGGTCATAGACAGACCCTATTACATACTAAATTCTATCCTAGACTGCAAAACAGATGCTCATGCAAGCCAAGTTCTACACTGGAGTTAGACAGATATAATCCAGAGACCTCAGGCACTTAAGCACTGACTAGCATCTCATAAGTACACCTTTCCTTTATCACAAGTTCTAGATCTATCTCTCCTTCACTCAACATCATAAATTCTGTAAGTTAGATGTTGACCTTCCAATCATCCAATTAAAACTCTACTACCACACTACCATTTCAAGACAAAATGAAATGGACAAAACAAAAGCTATTCTCCTGCCTGAACATCCAAAACACAGGACAAAATATATGAAATGATATTTCTCAAGACACTGGACATCTAGCAACAAAAGACAGTGACTACCGAGATACGAGTAACAAATGTTGTATGCCCCACAATTTTCCTAGCTCACTACCTGGAAATTTTCCAAGTGGTAGTGTAAGGTGATCTAATCCAAGTAGAGCTCAGAGATTTCCGGAAGTAATGAGGTAGAGCCAAGAGTCTTAGAAAAGAAAGTAATTCAGAGTACTGAAGCAAAGGAAATTACACAACAACCTCTGAAGATATGTAATCTTTCCCAGCAGAGTACATGGGAATAAGAACCAAAGGCTATACAAAACAATCCATGCAATTCACTCTGGGCAAGGGATAGTTCCTGTTATATTCAGATAGAGCAGAAACATCATACACATAGAATCAGAATAACCAGAAGGACTTTGCTTTACTAGTAGATTAAAATCAATCATAAATAAATGATGTTCAGGTTCCTTCTAACAAAATTTAAAGGAAGACATGAAAAGATGAAACTATTTCTACATTTCAAGTAAGCATAAATGTATTTCCAGAAGCACAAAAATATTCATCATCTAATACCTTAACTTTCACAAAGATTACCCAGAAACAAGAAATTCCCAATCGCATATCAAAGGGACCTGACATCAAAGGGAAAGAATGACTTAAATGATTAAAAGAACCCACTAAGCTCAAGAAGATAAAAGACATGCCTTGTTTAGAACACAAAATAAATCACTATAATTCCAAGGATGTTAGAGTAATTAAGAAAGACTGTTGCTTGAATAGTAGAGAAAATTAACCCCATACTAAATGCTATACTAGTCTTAAAT